CCGATTTAAAAATGGGCTAAAGACTTGCAAGACATTTCTCCAAAAAAGACTACCAATGGCCAACTGTATATAGAAAATTCTCCACATCACTAATCATCAGAAAATGCAAATCAGGGCGCCTGGGTGGCTCAGATGGTTGGGCGTCTGCCTTCGGCTCAGGTCATGACCCCAGGGTCCTGGGATCGAGTCCCGCATCGGCTCTCTGCTCCTTGGGAGCCTGCTTCTCCCTCTGCCTCTCTCTCTGTGTCCCTCATGAATAAATAAATAAAATCTTTTAAAAAAATGCAAATCAGAGGTGTCTGGGTGGCTTAGTTGGTTGAGCACCCGCCTCTCGATTTTGGCTCAGGTCATGATCTTGGGGTCATGAGATTGAGCCCCACATCAGGCTGTGCACTGGGCAAAGCCTGCTTGAGATTTTCTCCCTCTGCCCCTCCCCACCTGCTCTCTAAATAAATAAATTAATTAATTAATTAATTAATTAATTAAAATTTAAAAATAAAAAATAATAAAAGAAAATGCAAATCAAAACCACAGTGAGATAATCCCCTCACACTGGTCTGGATGGCTATCATCAATAAAGCGAAAGACCACAGTGTTGGCAAGGACGTGGAGAAATTGGAACCCTTGTGCGCTGTTGGTGGGAATGCAAACTGGTGCAGCCACTGTAGAAAGCAGCAGCATGGAGGTTCCTCAAAACATTAAAAATAGAACTGCCATAAAATCCAGTAATCCCACTTCTGGGCATTTATCTAAAAGAACTGAAGTCAGGATCTCAAAGAGATATTAGCACTCCCATGTTCACTGCAGCACTATTCACAATAGCCAGTATGTGGACATAAGCTAAATGTCCTTCAGCAGATGAATGGATAAAGAAAATGTGGTGTATACATAAGGCTATCGAGCCTTAAAAAAGAAGTCTGCAATGTGTGACAATGTGGATGAACCTCAGGAACATTATGCTAAGAGAAATAAGCCAGTTACACAAGAACAAATGCTGCATGATTCCACTTATATGAGATATCTGAAACAATCAAATTCATAGAATCAAAGAATAGATGGTGCTTGCCAGGGGCTAGAGGGAGGGGGAAATGAAGAGTTACTCATCAATAGGCACAAAGTTCCAGTTAAGCAAGATGAGTAAGTTCTAGAGCTCTTTGTACCTATAGTCAACAATACTATATTGTACACTTAAAATTTTGTTAAGAGGGTATCTTATGTTGTGTTCTTACCACAGTCATTTTATTACGTGTTGAAGATTTCCAAAGGGGAGGTATTAGTGAGACTATATAATAGGCAAATTTTACCAAGCTGAGGGCTTCATCCCTGAGGAAGTACCATTGTCAATGAAGACATAAAGATGAGTAAAAGTGAACCAGGCAAAGTAGAGGGGAAAGCACTAATGCCCTCATCCTCTGAGCTCCTGTCCCCTCCCATCACTGGGCTTGTGGGAAAGCCAGGCCCCAGAATCCCAGGGAAGGCCTCTAAGTGCCTCACAGGCTGCGAGCCAGCCAACCCTGCCCCCAGGCTTTCTCCTCCCTCCTGGCCTGTTGCACTCCCTCAAGAAACAGCCAAAAGCACAGAATGCAGGAAGGTTCTATCAGCAGCCAGCCAGACCCAAGGCTCACAAATGTAGCCCGTCTGCAGAGAAATGGGGGGCAGGGAGGAGGAGGGCGAGTCTGCTTTCCCTTTTTTTTTTTTTCTTTTGGCCTAAGTTGATTCAGATACTTTCAATCAGCAAAGTACTTAATACACAGATAGCTTCTGCTGACCTCCTCCCTTGGGAATGCAATGTGGTTTTATCATGGGTAAGCAGATATGTCTATTTTGTGAGTTTGACGAACAGTGTTGAAGTGACCTCATGGCTGCCAAAATGCCTCTGCTTCAAGGTCCCAGTGACTGGATTTCTGCCAGAGGTGGAGGCAGGAATGGGGGCAGTGGAAGTGGAGAGCCTGCACTGTGACAGGTTTCAACCTTGGACAACATTCACTGTGTAGGCAGCTCCTTTATGAGACACACACATTGTGGTCACCAGCATTGAGCATGGTTGTTGGATTTTGTTTCACAGCCACACTTTAACATTTCACTTAAAAGTGGGGGGAGGGGAGCACCCCTTTCTGAAGCATAACAAACATAGAGAAAAGTACACAAAACCTACATTGTATGTCTTGATGATTTTTCACAAAGTGGATCCAGATCAAGATAACATCCCAGAATTCCTCCCCCAGCCCCCCTTTTCTAGTTACTGCCCACCAAGGGTAACCCCCGAGCCGATCTCTAACATCATAGATTAGTTTTGGGTTTTGAACTTTATATAAATGAGAGCACAGTATGAATTTTTGCTTTTGTGGCTTTCTTTCCTCAATTTTATGTTTGTGAGATTCATCTGTGTTGCTTGTTATAGTTTATTCTCACTGTTCAGTGTTCTTGTATGACTATATCATAATTTTTTATCCACTCAACTATTGATGGACATTGGATTGTTCCCCATCTGGGCTATTATCAGTAGTGCTGCTTTTAATATTCTTATATATGTCTTTTGATGAACATATGCATGATTGGAGTGGGGGGGCATGCTGTATTAGTTGTCTATTGTTGCACAACAAATTTCCCCAAATCCTAGTAGCTCACAACAGAAATAAATGTTTTTTACCTCTCACCATTTAATGAGTGAGGAATCTGGGTAAGGCTTGGAAAGGCAATTCTGCCTCAAGGTCTCTCATGAGGGTGCAATCATCTGAAGGCTAGACTGGGTCCAGCGGATCGGCTTGCAAGGTAGCTCAGTCACATGACTGGCAAGTTGGTGCCAACTGTTGGTGAACAGCTTCAGTTCCTTTGCATGTGGACTTTCCTGAAGACTGAGTGAGTGCGCTCATGACATGACAGCTGGCTTCCCCCAGAGTGAGCAAAGAAAGAGCCAAATGAAAATATATCCTTTTTATGATTTAGCCTTAGAGGTCACATACCCTCACTTCTGCCTCATCCTATTCATTACAAATGAGCCACTGAGTTCAGCCCAGACTCAAGGCTTCATCTTTTTTTTTTTTTTTTTTTTTTTTTTGCGAGAGAGAGAATGAGAGAGAGCACCAGAGGGAGGAGGGTCAGAGGGAGAAGCAGACTCCCTGCTGAGCAGGGAGCCCGATGTGGGACTCGATCCCAGGACTCCAGGATCATGACCTGAGCCGGAGGCAGTCGCTTAACCAACTGAGCCACCCAGGCACCCCTCAAGGCTTCATCTTTAGAAGGGAGAGGTGGCAAAGAATGTGTGGATATATTTTAAAACACAACATTTTAAAGCTAGGAATTTACCCAAACTAGCGATCTAAAAATAAGTTTATAGAAATTCGCACAAGGATCGATCTAAAAGAAATATATATTCAATTCAGCCTCTCCTCTTCTATTGATTTAAAATTTTGTGAATGTTTATAGGACAGTTTTCCTGGAGACAGTGTGGTACAATAGAATAGACTAAGGCTTTGGAGCCAAACACACCCAGTTTGAATCCTGAATTCGCAGCTTACTAATTATGGGTTTTGGGCAAGTCAACCTCTTAGATTTTCAGATTTCCTCAATTATAAAATGAGGGAAATCAGTAGAGTCTATCTCATGTTGTTCTGGAGGTAATTAAATGGGTGTAAAGCACCCACTTTGCTGGTAGGTCCCTTCCATTTGCTCATTTATCAAGAAATTATTAACCATGTACATTAACTATCTAGAAGCAGGTACACATCCTTTGAACATGGACCAAACTGGGATACACAGAAATAAAGACATTTTGAAGGATGGGCAAGGAAAGGACAAAACGTATTCCAAATTCAGAGTAACAGCTTGAGTAAAGACAGAGCTGGAGAACCAGGGGGCGTGAGTTGAGAATAATGAAATTGTCTGCTACACATATGACTTAAACACAGGATAGATGAAAGGAGGCAGTGGAAATAGGGGTTTGTAAGGTAGTTACATATCAGAGTAGCAGAAAGAGAATGAGAGAGTATGTACTCTGTTTTGCAGTCTGATGAAAAACGTGAAGGCCAAAGATTTTTAAGCCAGTTTTTAAGGCTAGCTACAAAAGCTAGGAGGGCCTAGCCACTGAAGGATCTACTTGCCATGCTTTTCTTGGCTAACTTCTGTTTGTAGAATTTTTGTGCCTCATATTGTAAATACAACTTTCCAAAACTGATGATTAAAGAACACTTCTTACTCCAAGCCCAGGCAACTCAGCTTTTTCTTTATCATTCCCATTTTGGAGGCTGCATCAACAGGGAAATGGAGTAGGATTGTTTTTATAGGCCTTCAGCTCACTGTAAATGTACTTCTCAAGACTTGGCCGTTCGGAATGGCCAATTATGCACTCAACTCCTCTGTGTGTATTTGACTTCTACTTCCAGATAATGAGCCATTCTCTCCATTTATTTCCCCTCAAGAAGACTGATCTATTTAGCAACCTTTACTTTTGTTACATTCTCCAGTCCCAGGCAGTGATGATATTTATACATAAGACAGAGACATTTCTATGCTATGTTGGAAGTTTGAAGGAAGTTGGAGCCAATGACCTTTCACTTTGAAGCCAAAGAAAAACAAGCACAAATTCTTCAGTCTTGCTAAGAATGGGAACTAGACAGATTAGCAGAAAGGCTGTTCATTCAATACCTAGTGCCCAAAGTCTTTCTGCACTCAAACCTGTGTTATCATCTAGCATACCAGTAGCCTTATTTTGATGAAGTTTGTATATTTCATCCAAATAGACATGGTTGTGACCATTCTTGGTGATTTTGTGGGTAAAAATGGACATTCCATTTTATCACCCTCTTTGTTTATTCAAACTGAATTCTAGAGCATGTAGGAGAGGATGCATTCTAGGCTTGGGGTAGAATTCCTAGCCAATCTTGTGCTGGAAATTCCCACATTCCCAGGTATGTGTTTTTACTCTATTGGCAACACTTGATGTCATGATGTTCTCTACACAGGTACTAAGGATGTCCTCGTCCTCTCTGATTTCTTCCCAGGTGGGAAATTGGCAAGTGGAGTCCATGCAGTCTCACCTGTGGGGTTGGCCTGCAGACCAGAGATGTCTTCTGCTCCCACCTCCTTTCCAGAGAGATGAATGAAACCGTAATCCTGGCCGATGAACTGTGCCGTCAGCCCAAGCCCAGCACAGTGCAAGCTTGTAACCGCTTCAACTGCCCCCCTGCCTGGTACCCTGCACAGTGGCAACCGGTGAGTTCTGGAGTTAGTCGATACTAGAGTTTGTGTATACTACTCTGATTCAGGGCAAGGGACACTCTCTTCAAGGAGATTTGTCCCGTGAAAGGAATGTCCACGGTCTGTTCCTCCCTCCCTTCTTAGTACTCTCTCAACCTTATTCAAATCCAGATATTTTCATTATAAATACTGTGCTCTGTCTATGGTTCCACACCAGTGTCCTCCCAAAGCAATTCAAGACCCATCTGTTAAACCGAGTATATTCACAACAAAGTTTTTACCAAACTAAGAAAACATTTTTTAAAAATAAGGACAATGTGGTTGGTTTTCCACAAAGCTAAATTTGCTCTGAATCTGTGCCCTTTCTAAAAGTTTTTTGCTGTTTTAAAATCCTAAGAGGCCAAGGTGCTAGGCAATGACTTTTCTTTTTTTTTTTCTTTTAAATATAATTACTTACCAAAATAACAGATTAGAAGTCAAATCAGTTCCAGAATTTTAAAAATTTTCCTGGCCCTATGAATTCCAAAAGTCTAGGAACTATTGTTTTAAAGCAGGGGTTGACAAACTGCAGCCCAAAGCCAGATCCATCTCACAAGCAGTTATTATAAATGAAATTTTATTTGAACACAGCCATGCCCATTCTTTTATGTATTGTCCATGGCTGCTTTTGCCCTGGAGAGGCAGAACTACATGGTTATGACAGAGACCATTTAGCCTACAATACCTAAGATATTTACTCTGTCCTTTCACAGAAAAACTTCACTGACCCCCCTCAAGAGCATACATAATAATAATACAAACACAACTATTTTATCATAATATTCTATCTAAAATCAATATGTATTTATCAAACTTCAGTTAAGTAATTTTTTCCATGCCTTCAAAAAACAGAGAGAAATTTTAGATTATTTGGATAGAACCTTATTTTTCATTTCTTCTCCATGAGGCTATCAGAGGTACCTATAAATTGACAACAATGGTCACAAAAAGTAAGCCCGAAAGGTGAGAGGGACGTGCATCCCAGCTTATCCCAGTTTTACTAAACCAGTTTTTCACTCTCAAAATTATCCCAATTGGGGCACCTGGGTAGCTCAGTCATTTAGGTGTCCAACTCTTGGTTTCAGCTCAGGTCATGATCTCATGGGTCATGGGATTGAGCCCCCTGTCAAGCCCCACGTCAGGCTCCACACTCAGTGGAGAGTCTGCTTAAATATTCTCTCCCTCTGCCCCTGCCCCCATTCACTCTTGCTCTTTCTCTAAAAATAAATAAATCTTAAAAAAAAATTTTTTTAAGTGTCCCAACTAAAATGATAAATTATATGGTTATCCAACTGAGGAGAGAGCACAGCAGCTTACACTCCCTTGCCTTAGTGCTGAGAGGGGGCTGCCGTTTCTAGACTGCCATGCCTCAAAGGATGCTTTTCCACTATCACTTCACAGAGCCCCTTCCTTCTCTCTGCTCATCTTGGGACTAGGATTTAGTAAAGCACTCAATGAATCAAAGAGTAATCAGTGAGCAAAACTCTAAAATATAAAGCATCTGGAAAAAGATATTGACTATTTCCTTTTAGAGCTTAAATATATATGTGGCTAAGCTCATAAATACCATGCTACTATGTGATGGTTTGTGGAAATCAAGAGGATGTTATATATTTTGAATGCCTATGTACCAGCGTTCTGTTAAAAAAAAAAGAAGAAAGAAATACTATTACACATCTAACTGAAGTTACTCCTCACAACAATCAGTGAAAAGTCGGTTGTATTATCTTCATTTTAGGTTTAAGAGACCTGAGGCTCATACAGGTAGCAAACTTAGGGTTGGCCATCAACCCAGTTTTATGTGATCCTTTCCCCTATACCTCATTGTTGCAGACTACTATGGCCTAAAGAGCCATCAGGGATTATATATGAGTCCCCTAGCTTCATACACGATGTAACTATGGCCTAGATATGGCCTTGCCAAGATCATAAAGCCTGGTTGAGACCCCAGGTCTCCTGGTTCTAGTATATTTATACTGTTAGCTTTAACTAAAATAAATCCATGACCTCAAACTGCACCACTAACTAATGCCAACCCTAAGACAAGACCAGGAATCAACCCAAATCAACCTCCATTGCTGTATTAAGTCATCAGATTATTAATGCATGTCTCTATTAGGTACATAGTAAGTTCTGGATAAAATGTTTATTGAATGACAAAATGAATGACTAGATCAAGAATACTGCCCCACATGCCCTGAAAATTCTGACTTTATATATTATATAATGTCTTATGGTTATGGGTTCTAATATTGACCTAGCAGTGAAACTCAATGAAACACCAACCTAGGGGCGCCTGGGTGGCTCAGTCGTTAAGCGTCTGCCTTCGGCTCAGGTCATGATCCCAGGGTCCTGGGATCGAGCCCCGCATCGGGCTCCCTGCTCCGCGGGAGGCCTGCTTCTCCCTCTCCCACTCCCCCTGCTTGTGTTCCCTCTCTCGCTGTGTCTCTCTCTGTCAAATAAATAAATAAAATCTTAAAAAAAAAAAAAAAAGAAATACCAACCTCTTTTTTTTTAAGATTTCATTCATTCATTCATTCATTTGAGAGAGAGAGCATGCGAGAGAGGGGAGAGGGGCAGAGGAGAAGCGAGAGGGAGAGAGAATCTGAAGCAGACTCTCTGCTGAGCACAATCTCAAGATCATGACCTGAGCTGAAACCAAGAGTGGGATGCTCAACCAACTGAGCCACCCAGGGAGACCCGCCCCCCAGCCTCTTTGTAGTAGCCACTCATGTTGCTGAATAATGGCAGTGACCTATGACTTTTTTTCCCTCACTTTTTAGAGCACATGCATATACATGACCTTTTTTGGTCTATTGCCACCACCACCGCCGCCACCCCCGTGCCCAATGTCCCCATTTAATACAGATTTCCAAAAAGTCTATTATTCTTCCATTTTCCATCTCCTAGGCCTCTTAAGACACAAATTTGTTTTGAAAACTTTTTCTCCTTCCTTCCATTAGGGAGAGGCCTTTGAGGTTGAGTCAGATTTAAGTTCATTTTTCAGATCAGGAAACTAATAATAAACAGCCCTTTGAAGTTCATCCAATGAGCTACTAACTACGCCTTCTTAAGATCTTTTTTTAAAAGTATCTTCTTTATATGTAATACATAGTCATTGTGAAATATATTCAATAAGAAATAAAGAACATAGAAAGTGATTCTATCCTCTAGAGAAAAACCCTGTTAGGCATGTGGTGTGTAGGGTCTGTTTTAAGAATCCTTGGTCATTTTTAGGAATCTTTCTAAACCTAGACGAAACAACAGACTATTCTTACATGATTTCCTAGAATACTACATTTTTAGTTAAGCTTTGTTCGATAAAATCAGCTAATATCAACCACTTGTTAAAGGAAAGGAAGTCATTGTTTATGCCATATGGTGAAATAAGTCAGGAGTAACTTGGGGGGGTCCAAGCTAATTGGCTGTTGTCTTAGGACCCCCCTTAGTAAAAGACACCAGCTATTGACTGTCCATTTGCCTGATTAGCCCTCTGGTTGCCTGGTCCTTCTTAGAACAAGGGAACCTGCTGTGCACTCATATGCTCTTTTCTATCTGGATCTACTAGAGGCGAGTGCTGAGGTCTCTAATCCTTCAACACCCACCTTAAGTCTTTCTTCAGATGAAAGAAAAGCAGATGCGGTGTCAAATGCTTCATTGAAAGACGACATAGTAACGTGATGAACATTGGCTTTTGAGGGGAGTAACTCCTTCTCCTTGCCCTTTGAACACTGGGCTACCACTGACTTCATGTGTACACTTTTCTTCCTGGAAGAAAAAAAAGCACAACCACATGAATTGTCATTTGCCAGGTAGAAATGCAACCTCCCTTGTCTTTTATAGAGCATTTGCCTGACAGCTGGCAAGTAGCCAACAGTTACCCATTCTGCAGGTCTGGAGAGGACTAGCATGCAGTCTGGGCACATATGTTAAAATTTTATTTTAGAAACAAGTAGAAATGAAACAAAAATCAAATTCTAGCTTTGGCTTAGGGGACCTTCTTTATTTCAGTTCAACAACTTAATACTGCATCCCTTGGTTTTTATCTCTGGTCTTGTGTGAATGACTCATTTACCTTTATCAGTGTAGCTTAAATACCTTGTTGGTTTGTGTTTAGTTGGCTTTTGAAACCCATATTTAGTGCATAGGTATCCTGAATCTTCTCTGATTGGTTAAACATGCTCATCATCATAATCATCATCATCTTTGGTGCTGGCTATGTGTTATTTTATATACACCTCACTAGGGATCATATCCCACTGGTGTGGTACAGCACCGTGATTGAGAACCACTGTGATATATGTCATAAGTCCATCCAAGACACTTTGATCATGATGGTATTCTGCTAGGAAATTTTTCAGGGACATTCCATTGCCATATAGTAAAGCCAGATGGCTCAGTCAGGCCTTCATCCCTCTGCACATCTGCTCCTGCCCATCTCCCGCCATGCTTCTCCCGCCTCTGCATGTACATTCCTATCTGCCCATGCTTCTCCCTGCCCATAGGCAGTTCCCCTCCCCTCTGCTTGTCCAACTGGGCAGGAGTCCCACCTCCTTTACCAGGACTCCTCCGCTATCCTCCTGCACTGAAGCCACATGATGTTCATGGTCAGTGCTGCTCATTGACCAGTCACATACTACCTTGCCTGGATGGGCACTTTCCTGTAACTTCTGAGTTAAACCATAAGGTCAATGAGACAGAGACCAAGTCTCAGTGAGACCCCATAACACTCAGAGCAGGTATGTAAAGCATAGAGCTTAGTGCTGGAAAGTTGCTTGACAAGTCTGCCAGTCTATTTGTTGAGCACTTGCCCCATTTCAGGACCCTCTCTTTTTAATAAGAGCAGCACTTACTATGTTTCAAGCACAGTTCTAGGCACTTTACAGATTTAACTCATTCAATCCTCACTATCCTATGTGACCATAGGACCATGGATGAGGGACGTAGAGCACTGTGAAGTGAGCATGAATTCCGAC